GAATTTATTTGGTGGTGGCCTGCCTTATTTACTTGCAAGCTTGAATTTGGCAGCATATACCAATACACATATGCCTTAGAATGTATTTGTATTTGGAGAAAAATGTATATATGGAAATGTCCTTTGAAGATGCTGAATTACCAGTCATTTTGAAAACTAAACCGATACCGTTGAATTTATAATCTGCCTTGTATGCTATTGTCCTGTAAGTGTGGTAAATGAAGCATAAATAAAGGTAATGTTTTCATTTTAACTTGACTTTTTGAGTGCTTATGGGAAATATTAGCTTGGTGCATATCCCCCATTTGTTGAGAATGGAATATTATGTATATAATTTTCAGAGGTTGGAATTAAGCTTTATGTGTATGTATGCGTGCTTGTTGGCAGTCAAACTATAGCCATTTTCTTTGTTGAATTTTCTTATTGCTTTTAAACTTGAATTACAGTGTGTCACCTAAATTATCACCATATGCATATTACTAATTGCCTTGCAATAGGACACTGAGATTTTATTTAGCCTTATATCTATCATAATTGTAATTATTTTATATCACTTTCGTATAGTGCTTCTCAAACTTTTTGGTCTCAGGGCCCCTTTATACATTACATGTTAATATAAATAAGACTTAAATTTAAAAAATCCAGAAACCTGTTTTCCAAAAAAAAATTAGTGGGAAGAGTGGCATTTTGCAAATCTCATGAATGTCTAACTCAGCGATTTTCAACTAGTGTGCCACAAGAATTGTTAAAACATGCAATACCTGACTAGCCAGGGGTATTGATTTCTTTTCCCTTAGATTGTCAAATAAAAAAAATGACAACAGCCAACACAACAATAGCTATCTGGTGTGAGTGAGTCAAAATTATACCTATTTTCAAAAAATATATTTTTATTGTTGATAGTATTATGGATATCTCCCATTCTCCCCCTTTCCTCCCTCCTCCTAGCCCTAACCCCCCACCACTCTATTGCCCTTGTCCGTGGCTATGCATCCTATCTAATAAAAGAGTAATACACAAATGAACTGTCACTTTGTGAAAAAGATGGTGGAGCCCACAGCCAATAAAGAGGGAATATGCAAATTGATGCAACAAGGCGAGAGGAGGAAAGGCGACTCCAGGCCAAAGCAAAGGCAGTGCCGGCAGCCAGGGAAAGAAAGGCCTATTCTTGCACAAATCTTCAGGCCTCTAGTAAAGTATATATAAGTTCTTTAGTTTATTTCTTCTCATCCCCCCCAACCCCACATTGAAGTATGTCAGTCTGTTCAATACCTCCATGCTTTGGGTCTTATTTGTTGGTTGATTCATTTTGTTCATTAGATTCCACAAGTAAGTGAGATCATGTGATATTTGTCTTTCTCAGTTTGGCTTATTTCACTTAGCATAATATTTTTCAGTCCATCCATGCTGTCCCAAAGGGTAGGAGATCTCTCTTTTTTACAGCTGCATAGTATTCCATAGTGTAAATGTCCCACAACTTTTTTATCCATTCATCTACTGATGGGTACATGGGCTGTTTCCAAATCTTAGCTATTATAAATCATGCTGCTATGAACATAGGGGTACATATATTCTTTCTAATTGTTTGGGGGGCGGGGAGGGAAAGGGGGTTAGGATATATTCCTAGGAATGGGATCACTGGTTCCAACAGAAGTTCCATTTTTAGTTTTTTGAGGAAACTCCATACTGTTTTCCACAGTGGCTGCACCAGTCTGCATTCCCACCAGCAGTGAACTAGTGTTCCCTTCTCTCCGCATTCTCGCCAGCACTTGTGGTTTGTTGATTTTTTTGCTAATAGCCATTCTGACTGGTGTGAGGTGATATCTCATTGTGGTTTTAATTTGCATTTCTCTGATGATTAGTGACTTTGAGCATTTTTTTATATGTCTCTTGGCCATTTATATGTCCTCTTTGGAGTAATGTCTATTCATGTCTTCTGCCCATTTTTTAATTGGATTGTTCATCTTCCTTTTGTTGAGTTTTATGATTACTTTATATATTTTGGATATTAACCCCTTATCTGATATATCATTGGCAAATATGTTCTCCCATACAGTGGGTTTCCTTTTCATTTTGATGGTGGTCTCTTTTGCTGTGCAGAAGCTTTTTATTTTGATGTAGTCCCATTTGTTTATTTTCTCCTTATGTTCCTTTGCCCCAGGAGATATATCTGTAAACATATTGCTACATGAAATATCTGAGATTTTACTGCTTATGTTCTCCTCTAAGATTTTTATGGTTTCATGCCTTACATTTAAATCTTTTATCCATCTTGAGTTTATTCTTGCATATGGTATAAGTTGGTGGTCTAGTTTCATCTTTTTGCATGTGTCTGTTTAGTTTTTCAGCACCATTTGTTGAAGAGACTCTTTACTCCCATTGTATATTCTTGCCTCCTTTGTCAAATATTGACCTACCTATTTTTTTCGTCATATTGGCAAAAAAAAATATTTTTTGGTGTGCTGCAGAATTTTAGTAATTAGTTTACATGTGCCATGAGATGAAAAAGGTTGAAAATCGCTGGGCTAGCCTAAAAGACAAGCTGGAGTCTCAAACCTTCTGAATTCAGTGTTTAGCCATGTTATTTTGGTTGAAGGATCTGAAGAAAGTCTGACCTGTAGGATATATATAGTTAGAAAAGGGAGGAGCAGTTAATAGTATTTTTAGATAATTGTGGATCAACAAACTTCTTGTACTTTTACATTGAAACCCACTGGTTTTATCTTGTACACTTTGAGCGGCTCTTCCACTTAAGCATGATTTTATAACATTACGTGCCCATCATTTGATGAATATTGAATCACTGAGTTATGTAGTTCTTCCACAGGTTAGCACATTTCATTATACAGTATCAAAATTTTGCATTCATCAACACCATTGATTTAATTAGAAAGTCTAAATATTGGAGAGCTGTCAAGGTAATGGTGGTAGGTACAAGTTTTCAAAACTTCTAATTTTGACTTCAAACGTTGAATTTTATTAATGTTGAGAAATAATGAATATTGTCACTTGTTTTCTTTGAAAAGATGAGCTTATTCCATTTATTTTTGAGAAAATATCTTTCAGATACCTGAGTCTGAATAACCATAGTTTGTCTCTCAATCATTCTTTTTTTTAAATCTTCACTAGAGGATATGTTTTTATTGATTTTAGAGAGAGAGGAAGGCAGAGAGAAATATTGATTAATTGCTTCCCATGTAAGACCCAATTGAGCCTGCAACATAGGCATCCACCCTGACCAGGAATCGAACCTGCAGTCTTTTGGTGTATGGGATGACGTTTCAACCAACTGAGCCACCCAGCCAGGATCAACCATTCTTTTAAATAAAAATGATCTTCCTCGCAAAAGAAGCTATTTCAGCTCCCAACTCAATCACACAGAGGCTTTTCTTTGACACAGGCATCCTGTGTTGGTATCCAGCGGAAGTGCTTTATGTGTACTTTGCATTTGGTGTCACAGAATATTAAAGGATATGTATCAAGGGTCAAAAATTGAATAAAACATTTTTGACTGTTCATCAAGGACATTCTTAAGTGAAACCGGCCTTTTTGCCCACTGTTGCTTTTGCACCATCAGTGCAAATAACAGTGAAAAGTGCAATTGAGTACTTATTTATTTTTTAAATCCTCATCTGAGTATATTTTTTCATAAATATTTAGAGAGAGGGAAAGACAGAGAAATGTCGATGTGAGAGAAATACATCGATTGGTTGCTTCCTGCAGGATCCCCACCAGGGCCTGGCCTGGCGAGGAGCCTGCAACCGAGGTATATGCCCTTGACCGGAATTGACCCCGGTACCCTTCGTTCTGCAGGCTGATGCTCTATCCACTGAGCCACACCGGCTAGGGCGCAATTGAGTATTTTAATGAAAATAGACTTTGTGGACACCCAAATGATCTTGAGGACCCCTCTATAGACCATGCTCTGAGGAATGCTGATTTAGTGTGCTATAATGAGAAAAGTTGCAGGTTCCATTTTGAGGTATCTTGTGACATATTGAAGTTTTTTTATTGGCTGTATCCGAATGGAGACATCTCCTTCCTCTACTGCTTCTTAGGGCAGCACCATTCATAGCAATGGATTGCATGCCTATTTTAGTGCTTGTTGTTAGTTATACAGTGGGGCCTTGACTTACGAGTGTCCTGACTAACGAGTTTTTTGAGATACCAGCTGTCTCTGGGCAGATTTTTTGCATTGAGTTGATAGAGTAATTTGAGTTAACGAGCTCCTTAACGAGCTCGGTCTCGGAACGAATTAAACTCGTAAGTCAAGGCCCCACTGTATTAAGAGTTTAGTACATATTTTTAATTGGGTTTGAGCCTCTGTTAAACTGTATCCCTTAAGTGTTTATTACACTTATACGTTGGTGTATAATCTGCCTTCATATGTACTGTATATTATTTACTAATTCTCCCCACAATCTGAAGAGGATATCACTTTTAAATTAAATCTCCATTATGTAGATGAGAGAATAAAAGCTCTAAGAGATTGTGTGACTAGCCCCACTGTATTTCCTTATATTTCGAAATAAAATTTTAAAGCAAGCTTTTTTATTTCATGGGCTATGGGGTTCATGTTTTTTTTGTGTGTGTTTTTTAAAATATATTTTATTGATTTTTTACAGAGAGGAAGGGAGAGGGATAGAGAGTTAGAAACATCGATGAGAGAGAAACATTGATCAGCTGCCTCCTGCACGCTCCCTACTGGGGATGTGCCTGAAACCAAGGTACATGCCCTTGACCAGAATCAAACCTGGGACCCTTCAGTCCGCAGACCGACGCTCTATCCACTGAGCCAAACCGGGTAGGGCTATGGGTTCATGTTTATTGGAATTTGATATAGAGCCCTGACCATGGGCAAGTGGCAGCCAGAGGTGTGGGTAGGAAAAAAAAAATCCTACTCCACACTCAATTCACTCTATTAATCCATCAACCTACACCACTCCCACCCCCACTAGTAGTCCAAAGAAGGTAACATGGCCCAGGAACACGCTGTGTTGCTCTCTCATCAGTCTGTTAAGCCTCAGAATTAGAGAGTGAGGAGTATTTGAAGTTCTGTCCATTTAGTTTCAGAACAATAAATAAGCAGAGGCAGGAAGCCATGACAAAGACACTGGCAGCCTTGCATCTTGCTAGGTCTTTATAGCTGTGTCTCTGGATTCGTAGGCCACTCCTCGACTTTTCAGCTCCCTCACAATTCCTTGGGTCAGGCGACCAGTGACTAACACTGCATATACACCAGGCTTAAAGTTACTGACTCCCTGCCACTTGGAGACCCACCTGTCCTCTGGACTCATCATTGCAATGATTCCATCAAAGGAAGAGCTGGTGCAGTCATATACCTTCTCTCGGTTAACCTTCATCTGAAGGTATGCATCACAATTGTCACAACCATCATATTCAAATTGGTCTGTAGTCTTGACCAGCGAATGCAACAAACAAGCTCGCAGATGCCGCAGGTCCTTGGGCACCGTCTGAACAGAACAGCAAAATGCTCACAAGCTCTTTAATATTGGTAACAGAATTGCTGCTATGTCTGCCTGAGTAAATGCCTGCTTACTGAGCTCTGATGAATTCTTTGGCAACTCCAGGTTCTCTCTCACCTCCCTGCACTTCCATGGCAGCCAACTCTAAATCCCATCCAGGCTTTCCAACTCTCCCAGTGAATTACCAGGTGTACCGGTTAATAATGCGGATTTTTTTCAATAGATGGAGTTACACATATGTTTACATATATGCGATTTGATATGTATGCTATTTTGTTGTATTGACAGCAAGCTTCAAAACTTCATATATCAAATTTGCTAAAGGTGTTAACATCATAGATATTTTTACGTTTAAAGATATTGAATTTCGTGCCAAAAAAAGAGCATTTGTGGGAAGTTTTAATTCATTACTTTATTTTGAAGAAGTCATCGTATACTTCGGGAAGCTTATGGTGAACATGCTCCATCTCCAGATACTTGTGAATGCTGGTTTAAATGCTTTAAAAGTGATGATTTCGATGTGAAAGACAACGTCCAGGTCAACCGAAAAAGTTTGAAGACCAACAATTACAAGCATTATTGGATGAAGATGCGTGTCAAACTCAAAAACAACTTGCAGAAAGATTAAACGTTGCTCAGCAAACAATTTCTGATCGTTTACAAGCAATGGGAAAGATTTTAAAGGAAAGAAAATGGGTGCCACATCAACTGAAAGAAAGACAAATGGAAAACCGAAAAGTCATCAGTAAAATGTTGCTTCAACTGAAAAGTCATCAGTAAAAGGAAAGAAAGTCTTTTTTGCATCGAATTGTGACTGGCAATGAAAAGTGGATTTATTTTGAGAATCCCAAACGCACAAAATCATGGGTTGATCCAGGTCAACCATCA